TTTACCAAGTTCTCCTATGTTGATGTCTCCTGGACTTGTTCTGAGTGGGGTAGAGTTATGAGATTGTGTTTTAGTCCTTCATCTTGTCATGTTTGATACCAGATGCAGAAAGCTCAGTCTCCCTCTTCCCTGATAGCTCAGCAAAGGCCACTAGTGTCCCTGGTTTTCCTGATGGTCAAGCTTGCCCCTCAGTATCCACTGAGATGCACTGCTTAGTCTGGGGTTTTCTGGCAGATGGTAAAGTGTATCTAGTTCTCTCAGGTCACAGAGGCAGACCGTGATGTCAGCTGATGGCAGCCTGTCTGATCCAGCATCCCCTTGCTGTTCAGGGCACGTGTATGACCCAGAATTGGGTTGCGTTGGTGCGCAATCCTGGAGCAGTTGACCTGTGTCCCCAGGCAGTTCAGGGTACAGACAAATCCAGACATGAACTGCAGGGTCAAAAGGCTGTGGCCCACCTGATTCTGTGTCTCCAGGCAGTTTAGGATGTGCATGGGAGCTAGATGCGGGCTGTACCAACAGCGATCACAAACTGCCCATGTCTGTGATCTCCAGGAGGTCGGGGTGTAAGCAAAGCCCAAACCTGAAATGTGGTCTCAGCAGTTCCTGCTCCAGTACCTCACTGGGCACTGGGCATGTACAGAGAGGGCCCACACACGAACCCTAGTGAGAACAGTTCGCAGGCCTTCTGAGTGAGGATCTCCCGTCTGCACCGGGTACAGACTCAGACTGTGATGGCGGCAGGGTCGTGGGTCTCCCACTCTGCCCCCAGGAAGTAGATAGGAAGTGTCTGTTTCTCTCAGTGGCATTCAGCTGGGAACTGTGCTGTCAGCGGGTCACAGCCCATCTGATTCTGTGTCTCCAGTCAGTTCAGGATGCACAGAGGAGCCAGACATGGGCCACACCAACAGCAGTCATAAACTGCCCATGTCTGTGATCTCTAGGAGGTTGGGGCACAAGCAAAGCCCAAACCCGAACCGCGGTGCCAGCAGCTCATGGTGCGCATGCTCCAGAATCTCACTGGGCGCTGGGCATATGCAGAGAGGGCCCACATGTGAACCCTGGTGAGAGCAGTTCATGGGCCTTCTGAGTGAGGATCTCCTGTCTGTGCCGGGTGTATGGAGGGCCCAGACTCAGACTGTAATGGCAGTGGGGTCCTAGGTCGTTCTCTCTGCCCCCAGGAAGTAGATGGGAAGTAGCTGATTCTCTCAGCAGTGTTTAGCTGGGAACTATGCTGTCAGTGAGTCGCAGCCCATCTGATTGTGTGTCGCCAGTCAGTTCAGGATGCACAGAGAAGACATGGGAAATATTGTTAAAGAATATTCATGCTAGATTTTATAGAGTGAATTCTTTACCTTAACCACTTTTATCTTTGTCAAAATAATCCCACTGGTATGCTTTTCTACATGTGTCTTCCTGTGAAGTGTTCACTTATTAGTTGTTTAGCATGTGCAATTTCCTAAATTAACTGTTTATGCAAAGTTAATACTTTAAAAATATTTAAAATTTGTTTTGTAACACTTTCCATTCTTTTACTTTTTGATATAAAGAACAGTTCTTTTTTAAATTATTGTTTAATTGCACCTGGACATACCATCTACCTATTCTTTCATTTAAAAAGAAGAATCCCAAGAGCAGCCTCATAACCATCATGGTTGTCAGTGGTACATGTCAAGATTATTTCCTGTAAAGTTCCTTTTAGTCAAGGTAGAGCTGAATAGAAGCACCATTTTTTTAAATAAAAGTGAGAGTGGGCAAAATCTACGCTTTTATTCAGTGGCTCAAGAAGACTGTAATACAGACATAACTCTGAGAATAGTATATAGGAGGAGCTTGTTTGAAACATGTTAAATTTAAAAATACTCTTATTGTACAGTGGAATGAAATCTAAAGATGCAAATGACAAATTGATAATAATGAAAATAGGAAAAGAGCAGAAAGTAAAGACTAAAAGGAGAAGATACAAGAGAAGCTAGAGGGAAGGAGAAACATTAGGCCTGTCATTCATTGCTTCATTCATTCAGGAAATATTTTTGCTAGTATACCAGGTCCTTGGTATAAGCAGAGAAGCAAACAAATCCTGTGCTATTCTAATGAATAAGACTGTCATCTCATCCTTTAGACTAGTGAAAAAGAGGATAAAACAAAGATTAATCAGACTGGACAGAAAAACTGGGCAAAGCAATGTGAGTAGTGGGCTATAAAGGTTGGATATCTAAGGACAAGAAATATGAAAAATGAACTTTCACCTTTTCCTTTTCATGGCCCATAACTCCATCCATCTCTTCTTCTCCACATCCACATCTAGATTAGTTTCTTGGATCTTCCCTCACCCTGTTCTGGATAATTATCCTCTGGGGATGCTGAGGACCAGACCCAAGCAGTCATCCATCTATCTGAAAACCATTTATTAGTGTCTTCTATATATCAAGCATTGTGATATGTATAGGAATACAATAATAAATGAGATATTATCTCTACTATTTGAGTATCTTATAATCTATTTGTGTATAGTGGCAAGTTAGGAGTAAATAATAATCTGGTTTGATAAACACTATTAAAAGGATAAGTAAAAGCCATGTAAGTGCAGGGATGAGGAAAGTTTCCCAGAGTAAGAGCCCACCAAGTTGACATTTCCTCCTGTAGTTCTTACTCTTTTAAAAATTTTATCTGAATGAGTCTATTTCAGGAAAACCTTGAATATGCTTCTTAGTTGATGAAAAATTAATTTTGGCTTGATTCAAAATTAGCACATTAAATACTCTGTGGTTTTTCATTAGTGGGTTACTTTAGCTGAAATTCTGACTATGTTTTAAAATATGTGTTAAAATCCACATCCACTTCCCATATTCATACCCATTTAAAAATTCAATTTAAGAAAACCTACAGAATCTTTTGTCCTGTACTTTTATCATCCACTATATACATAAGTCTATATAGGCAATACTGATACAGCTTAATGCAGAACAGATGCCCATAAAGCAGTTTAACTGATATTTGTTTAAAATATGTGTATGTGTACCAACTTATTTCCTTATTTCAAACTGCAGTTTTTTCAGACTTTTAGAGGAAAAATGCCAAATCATGATAAGTTGCACCAGATTTCATATAAGAGCTGTCTGGAGCAGTGAAAGACTCTCAAAGGACTGAACACTTTTTCATACTTTGTGTTCTTTCATAAAAACCTGATTTAGAGAAATCTCTTGTCACTGCTTTTTCCTGTGCAGAAAGTTTCTAACAAGTCAGCATCCATTTGTAGTTACTGGTTTATCTTAAGTCTGTAGTGGCTGCTTTTATTTTCTTTTTGATGGGCTTTGTTATTTTTCATCCTATATTTGTATCTCCAGCTCTAACTACTCCCCTGAACTCCATTTGCTCGTTCTTAGTCTCGGCTTGGATGTCAGATAATCTATTTCAAATGTAACATAACTGAAAGAGAACCACTGGACTCCCTGCCAGCTCTCATGAACCAAATCTCTTTCTTTACATTTCTCCTCATCTTAGTAAAGGGCAAGTGTGATCTATTTGTTCAAGCTGAAAACCTCAAGCATTATCTGGACTCATTTTATTCTCTATAAAGTCCTTCAGTCAGTCCTGTTGGCAGTGTTACCAACTTCTTCCCACTTCTTATGCCACCATCATTCCAAGCATTCTCATTCCAAGTGCAGTGCTCTTTCCATGGTGGTTTGTGGCCTCGCATACATTCACCTTACTGCAGAAAGGTTTTTAAGTTCCTTGAGAGGAGTGATTATCTTTTTTATTTGCCGTATACCCTAAAGGGTACAGAACTGTGGACATACCCAATGAGGGGTTCCATGTGTGGCCACAGTTTGACCAAATTACTGCCTGTGTTTACTGTGGTCTGTGATCAGCTTGGGTCATGAACTTACTCAGATACACACCAGATTCAATGGTATTTGGAAACTGTGGCAATTTGAGTAAAAAATATTGATATATAGGAGTCAAGTTTTCAACAAGTAGCTTATTTGTATTCTGAATGTTGAACATTTCATGTAACTGTAACTGTAAGAATGATTAGGCTGTAGCTAATAGTTGCTGTGCTGCTTTAAACCTCAAAATGTTAGTATTTCTGTACTGAAACACCTGGTGTCCTGAAGGGGGAAGAGTGCCCCCGAGAGTGTCTGCAAATCGCAGAGCATCCATATTTAGCTTCGCTATTACCATACAAGTAGAGAAAGGCCCTTCCATTTTATTTTTGAAAGTTTTATTCACTTGTCTATTTAATTTTTTAAGTAATTCCAGTAACACTGATTGTCTCCCCCTTGTTTTCACAGGTGATCTGTAATGCTTTCACCATCTGTAATGCAGAGATGCAGGAAGTTGGTGTTGGCCTGTACCCCAGGTATGGAAGACAGTATTTCATTGCCTGGAAGACACGACCTTAATTCTCACCCAGTTCCCAGCCTTTTGGAGGCAGTTAGAATGATATCACAGCAACTGGCTCAAGAGCCAGGCTGGTAACTTAGTGATGAATTACAAGAAGATGTAAAAATGTTAAGTTTTATAACTGCACTTTATGTGCTATGCTGTTAATGAAGAGGCAGGCCTCAGAACTAAATTTTTGTTCTTAGGAGCTTTGGGGTAGGAAGTTGAGGATTGTGGGTACCAGTTAACTGTCAAGCTGAGGTTTGGTTATCCCCTACACCGTCCCTGATCTTACTGCCCTACTCCCTGTGCTGAAACACGTGTGAATCTTATCAGACTTACTGCCTCATAGTAGTGGGTCCCTTTTGTCATTTGCATTAGCATACTCTGAGCCCCAAAGCTCCAGAAGGCAAGAAAACTTTCAAGATTGGCTATCTGCACTGCTTCTACAACTGTCACTGTGATGACCTTTGTCCCTGAGCTACTGTGCTGCCCTTCCACGAGCACTAGTGTCATTCCTACTTTCATTTTGTTTTTATGTCATTTGGGGTCAAGTATAAATATATTCTTTTTTATAATTAACCACAAATTTGAGAATTTGGCTTCTTCTTTCCCACAAGTGCCATTAGCTGCAAGTCAGGTCTATTAGTATTGGTTCTCAAAAGCCAATAGCGCAGAATGGTTCAGAGCATGGGCTCTGAGTTCAGGCCACCTGGTTCAAATTGAGTCACCACTCACTCGTGTGTATGCTTGGGTGAATTATTTAACCTCTGTGTATCTGTCTCTTCATCTGCAAATGATCTTTGTAGAATCATTGTATATGTGCTGCTGAAGCGAGCACTGTAAAGTCATTGTGATGACTGCATTAGATAAACATGCTCAAGCATTAAGAAAGTACTGTCTGTACAGCAAATGCTTGTTCTAATTATTATCAATTTATGGTGGAAGTTTAAATACAGTCCATTTCCCAGATGTTAAAGACTGCACTTTCAGTGTAATAAAATGATGAGGCTATGCCCCAGAGCGCATGAACATCTAGTTAGGAAGACCCTCTCAACTTCCTTGGAAGAGGAAGTCCACCTCATTATTATGTTGTAGTAGAGACGCTAAATGAGATCCTTTGTGGGAAAGGTCAGTGGCATCTTAGCTGCAGTGATTGCTGCTGCATCCTGTTATCTCAAAGATGATTTCTTTACACGTCATTTTTTCTCTCCATCTTCATGTTATCTGGCTGGTGTCTGAGATATCTGCACTCCCACCTAAAAAAGGACTCAAAAAATATTTCAGTGAGCAAACTTTCCTAATTAGCCTCCATTTTAGGGAGCATTTTAATTCATATAAAGTAGGATAGTGACATTTTTGGGAATGCACCCAGAGTACTCAGGCTGTGAGCCCTTCTCAACCTCACCTATTTCTTCCCACTCCACATCCCCCAACCCAAAGTGTCTTTTCCACAGCACTCACCAAGTGTAGCTGTTTCACTCCATCTGCTGAGCCGTGATGATCTTCCTCTCTGTTTTCAGTGTGTCCTTACTCAACCACAGCTGTGATCCCAACTGCTCCATTGTGTTCAACGGGCCCCACCTCCTACTGCGTGCTGTCCGAGACATCGAGGTGGGAGAGGAGGTAAGGAAACTTGTGTTCACCCCGTCTGGCCTCCTCCCTCACCAAAGACTCAGGATAAGCATTCTTACAACCGGTTGTGCTTAAGGGACTGCTTTTCATTACCCTTCTTTCTGCCAGTGGGAAGATACATGATAGAGGGGCTGGGGATTTAGCTCAGCGGCAAAGCGCCTGCCTGGCAAGCGCAAGGTCGTGAGTTCGGTTCCCGGTACTGGAGAAAAACCAAGGAAAAAAAAAAGATACATGATAGAGTCACCTATGTTCAGCGACCAGTCACATCCTAATCTATGGATGTGCTAACTTTTTATTTTGTCACCATATTTCTGGATGGTGATAGTTCTAGTGCACGATTGCTATTTATAGGGTTGTGTATTTTATGTATATGCACAACAGTTGTTAAATCTCAATGGCAACAGCTCAGAGGACTGCCATCCCTAAAAATGGTCATTCTTCTGTGACAAGAGGCAGCCCACTTGTGAATAGATTTCTAAGAGCTTACTCACTCCAAAGGCCACTAATTGGATTTTGAATTTTTTACATCTGTGTGTAAAAAGCAAACAGGTTTTATTCTTTCAGGCAGTTGTTGGAACTTTACAAATCCATCCGTATCTCTGGGTGATCACTTAAGCAAATTATGGAAAGGGAATAGAGGCCTGGGAGCATGACCTCCAGCAATGAATGGGCCTTGACTCTCAGTTTGTAAATAGCCAAGCCCACCTGTTTTGGTGATGAATCTTCAGAGCAGCCTGAGGTCTCATGAGGCAGCCACATCTGGGCCACTCGAGGACTGTGAACTCAGCTCTGTATGGAGCTTGCTCAGTTTCCATTTGTGCTGAGTTCTGGTTTATAGATATTTATGCTTTCTAGAACCCAGTTTCCTTCTACCATCCAATTTGCTAAAGTGGATATTTATTGCAAGGAAAACAGAGGATCATAAGCTTTTATTGCATTTATCCAGCACTCAGCCAATAAAATCTGAACTCAGAGGTATCATATTTTATGGAGATGGAGATTTGGCTTTGACAAGATTCACCCCTAGGCTGATTGCCAATTCAGTAAGACACTACTTACACTGCAACTTTTGTCGGATTTCCTGTTTGTAGGACTGGTGTACTAAGTATACATATCTATCAATGATTTGAAGAATTTAGATTTGTGTTTGCTGGAGCCATATATGACTGCAAAGCAGGTGAGAAAAGGAACTACTATCAATTTTCAGCAATATTAGTTTAGAGGTCAAAGAGTGGCTGTTGTTGTTGTTGATGAGGTTGATGTTTTAGTAAATTTACAAAACAAAACAAGGTCTAAGGATGTAGCTCATTGGTAGAGTGCTTGCCTAACATGCACAAAACCCTGGTTTCCATCCCCACCACTGCAAAAGGAAAAGAAAGAAATTTGACAGGCAAACAGAAAAACTACTGGAATTTTCAGAAACAACAAACACAGTTTTTTGTATCTTGTTTTTAAGACTTGGTCACTACTTCTTCTGCCTGTTTGGTGTTCATGTAGTTGGAAAAAAAACACCTTATCTTTTGGGTTTTTTATGTCTTTCTCTTTCTACTTCTGGAGCAATAAGCAAATCCTTCTTGTGTAAAACAACATTTCTGTTCAGCAGCAAGCCCTGCAGACTTGACATTTTTCTCAATGGTTCTTATCAAAGAGTTTTTACAACAAAAAAGAGGATTTTCCCTGAAAGTCTTTATCAGCTTGTTAAAATAGAAAGTAGCTGGGGATATAGCTATGTGGAGCAGAAGGTCCTGAGTTCAATTCTGGTACCAACACAAAACAAACAAACAAACAAAAATAAAAACCATTCTGTAGTATGCTCCTTGGTGATGACATTTCCTGTGCTTACTTGTCCTTCTCTCTGCCCATTTCTACTTGCCTTAATATCATATTCCCTTCAAGGTCCTTTCAAACACCATCTCTTCCATAAAGCTTTTGCTAGTTTTTCACATTGAGGGAAGGTCTTTCCCTCTAAGATCTCCCTTTTGGTGGTTATTAGCATATATTTGGCACTTATTCTGGCTCGTTCAGCTGTCATCTTCATGAGGAGAGACACCTAGGTCTTGCTTACATCTGAGCTTCCTTGCACTTTGCCTAGTAGTGAAGAGGCATTGATCCCTCTTTGCTAAAATGACTATTAATTGAGCATACTTTAAAGACCAGCAATGTTTCTCAGTGGGGAGCTATTGGCATTTTGAATCAAACAGTTCTTCATTATATGCAGCTACTGACCATTGAGGAAAAATTGTGTCTCCAGTCTCTGTTCAATTCAAGCCTATAGCTGCCAACAACTAAAATACATCCTGCACATGTATTTATTTTATTAAGTTTATTGGTACAATTTAGATATAAAGATCACATTCATCATAGGGAATTTGTACCTGTACATAATATACAGTATCTTGATTTCTCTTCTTTATTCCATTCCCCTTCCCTCCCTCCAACCCCTCTTCCCCTCCTTATTTACAAAGCTTTGTTTCCATTTTATCCTTTTTTTCTCATTTTTTTCTTTTCCCTTTCCTCTTCTCCCTCTCTCCCCTTCCTAGTTTTTTTGAATAATTTGAATAATTTTGAATAATTTTTGAATAATTTTTTCCTATTTCCTTTTGAATAATTTTTTCCTATTTCCTTTATAAAGGAAATATAATATATTTTTTCCTATTTCCTTTTGAATAATTTTTTCCTATTTCACCGTATCTGTTATACATTTTGATTCGTATTTACACTATCAGTTTCTCATCCCATGTTTGTGCAATTTATTTCAGTGAAGAGTATGGTCTCAAGGTGCACCCATTTACCTAGAAATGTCTCGAGTTTATTCTTCTTTGAGGCTGAGTATTACTCCATTGTATAAAAAATGTATCATTTTTATCCATTCATCAGTTGATGGGCACTTAGGTTATTTCCAAAATTTAACTATTACAAACTGTGCTGCTATGAACATGTGTGCTCCTATATCACTGTGATATGATGTATTTCATTCTTTTGAGAAGATACCCAGAGGAAAATAGCTGGGTCAGATGGGACCTTCAGTCCTAGTTTTTTTGAGGAATCTCCTCATTGATTTCCATAGTGATTGCACCAGTCTACACACCTACCAACACTACAAAAGGGTTCCTTTTTCCCCACAGCCCCACCAACATTTGTTATTGGTTGATTTCTTGATGATAGCCATTCTTTCCAGAGTGAGATGGAACCTCAGCATTGTTTTAATTTGCATCTCTCAAATGACCAGTGATGTTGAACATTTTTTCATATATTTATTTGCTGTTTGTATTTCTTCCTCTGAGAAGTGTGTATACATTTCTGATGTCCATTTTTAGATTGAGTCTTTAAATTTGGGGGGGTCCGATTTTTTCAATTCTTTGTGTGTTCTAGATATAAGTCCTTTATCTGAGGAATAACTGGCTAAAATTTTTCCCACTTTGTGGGTTGTCTTTTCCCTCTGTTGGTGATTTCTTTTGCTGTGCAAAAGCATTTTAGTAAGATGAGATCCTAGTTGTTTTTTTGTGGTATTTCTTGTGCAATCAGAGTTTTATTCATGAAGTCCTTGCCTACACCTATGTCTTTAAGAGTTTTGCCTATTCTTTCTTCCAAGAGATACAGTGTTTCTGTTTTAATACTTAGATCTTTGATCCATTTTGATTTTAGTGTGATGCCTGGTAATAGAAATTGGTCTAATTTTAGTTGTAGGCATGTGGAAAGCCTTAGGCATGTGAAAGTTTTTTCAGCACAATTTATTGAAGAGGCTATCATTCCAGTGAACGTGTTTGGCCCCTTTGTCAAAGATAATGTGGCTGAGTGTGTTTGCAGTTGTTTCTCTATCTTCTAATCTGTTCCATTGATCCTCAAGCGTGGAGGGTTTTTTGTTTATTTGTTTGTTTTTGTTTTTATTTTTGCCAGTACCATGCTTTTTATCACAGTAGCTTTTGTAGTATCGTTTTTAAATCGGGAATTATGATGCCCCCTGCCTTGTCTTTGTTGCTGAGAATTGCTTGTGTCATTAGGTCTCTTCTGGTTCCACATGAATTTTAGGAATGTTTTCTCTAGTTCTGTGAGGTACACTAGTGGTATTTTGATTGGGCTTGCGTTAAATCTGTGTAACAATTTGTGGAGCGAGGGGATAGCCATATTCACTGTGTTGGTTCTTCCTACAGAAGCGCAAGGGGTATCGTTCCATTGTCTGATTTCCTCTTCAGTCTCCTTTTTCAGAGTACCGTAGTATTCAGTGTAGAGATTTTGTACTTCCTTTGTTAGACTGATCCCTAAATATTGTTTTGTGGGTTTTTTTTTATTTTATTGTAAAAAGTGTTGTTTCCCTAATTTCTTTCTTAGTGAGTTTGTTGTTTGTATGCAGGAATGCTCCTGATTTTTGAGTGTTGACTTTGTATCCAGCTAAATGACTGAATTGGTTATTAAAACTAGAAATCTTTTAGTGAAGTTTTTGGTATCTTCTAGGTAGAGTATCATGTCATCAAGCGCACAGCTCATATAAGAGACAAAATTATAAAAATCAGAGCAGAAATTAATGCAATTGAGACCAAGAAAACAGTGCAAAGAATTGAAGAATTTGTTCTTTGAAAGATCAAATAAAATTGATAAATCCTTGGCCAAATTTATCAAAAAAAGGAAACAAAAGACTCAGATTCATGCAATTAGGAATGAAAAGAGTGAAATCACAACAGATCTTGTGGAAATCTAGATCATCAATACCTACTTTGGAATCTTCACTCAAATACAATCGAAAAAACAGAAGAAATAAACAGATTCCTTGATACATATAAATTCCCAAAGTTGGATCAAGAATATATAAAAATTCTAAATAACCCAATATCACTCAATGAAATTGACAAGGTAATTTAAAATTTACCAACAAAGAAAAGCCCACATCCTGATGGGTTCACTGCTAAATTCTATAAGAAATTTAGAGAAGATCTAATGCCATTAGTCCTCAAACTCTTTAATGAA